AGCTCTGGCCCGGTGCGCTTCCACAGCGTCCCGGCCTTCGTGCTGGCCTCAGGTAACCCTCGGGACCCTCACGGCCCCGGCGTGGGGAGGCGCGGCCAGGGACTCGACTAACCCCGTAACCTCTGCCCTGGGCTGGAGCAAGGTAATTCCCAGATCGCTGCAGACGACGGTCCGCATCTTAGCCTTGCAGATCTGGTGCATGCAGTTCAGTTACTGTACGGATCTCTGTCTCTCTCAGCCTGTGTGAGGCCTCCAGGGATGGAGAATGCCGTGTTTCCCTTGCGCGGGCCCTTGTTCTGCGCTTTCAGACGTTTCTAGAGATTTCACAGTTGAATGAAGTGCGGTAAGCGAGGGTCCAAGGAAAGAGCAGAAGACGGCCAATTTATCAGGGTTCCGGGATGGCCCAGAACACGCTTGGTAGACACATTAGTCCCCCTAACAAGTTACTAAACATAGCCTCCTTGTCTGTTAAAAGTGACTCCCTCACCTCTTGAGGAAGAATTAAATAAGAAAGAGCCAAGTAACTCATAAGTGAAGTTGTGGGTGTTGCTGCTCTTATTGAGTATAGGAACGTTGCCTGGGTTCAAATCCGGACAACCTTCAGAAACTACTTGGCCGCCCTGAGCCTTTTTCTTCATTTATCTTACAGGATAAATGTTTTGTTTTCGAGGGTGAGGAGGAAATGAGACTATGCAAATGTCATGGAATTTTAAAAATACGTAAAATTGTGTATCTCAAGATGAGAAGATGGCAAGATATATAGGATTGTATATGCTTTGGCAGATCGCACCATTAAAAGGTTTTGCTAGATTTCCTGGTACAACTCTTCACGTATCAGGTACTGGAGGACATCTGTAGAACCATAATCCTCACAAATGGCACAGTTTCTGATTTCTGAACTCCCTGAGCTGTCGGTCTATGGGGCTGAATTCTAACAGAGTGCTTTAGTATTGGTGACTGGAATTGAGCAGGGTGCTGATTTAATTCATCCCGGAATAGGGCTATTTATTCCTTTTCTCCAGAGTATCAGACCGTGTGAATCATTCAGTTAGAAAGTTGATCTCGATCCTGTGTGAAGAATTGGCTTCCAGATTAACTAGATCGTGAAGGACACTACTAGAACAGGCGTTTCGGTTTTAGGGCCACCACAGGCAGCTGAACAACTGAAGCTGGTGAATGCCTCTGGGGAAATTGATGCCGCTTTCCCTGTAGGAGAGAATGGTATCACATTCAGATTGGCATTTGAGGGAGACAGAATTGATGTTCAGGATTTGTCTTATGAATTCCAACAGTTTAACTAGCATGCCTATCCAGCCCCACCCCACCTCCCAGCAACTCCAGCAGATTAGATGCTCAGGATATTGTGGGAATTGACAGGGTCCCCATGGTCCTGAATTGGTTAGGGCAGGGACAGCCAACCCCTTGGGCCTAGTTGTTCTGAGAGTGCCACCGTGTGACAATGCAATAATTAGCGGGCATTTGTGATCACTGAGCTATTAAGGAAATGAGACCCTGTATTCCTTACTTTGAAAATGTATGAAAGGCAGGGGCCAGCATTCATTCAGGAACAGTCCTCTGCCCTTCCACACCCTTGTGCTCTTGTGGCAGGGTCCACGCCTCGTGTCACAGTCTCCACCACCCTCAGAGAGCTGCTGACTGGGCTGCACTCCACTGCACTGAAATAAAATGCAAGCTCCTTGACTTCATTCACTGCTTTCCAAGTACTGGAAACAGTAGAAAGTGAATGAATACTTGTTGAACGTGTAGCTAAATACATAAGATTTGAAGAACATGCTCATGGACAAATACAGATGTCTGGCCCTCTTAAAAATCCTATTCCCATTGAAATTAAACTTTACTGTATTTTTAAAATTAATGGATGGAAGTAACTTTGAAGGACATCTGGTCCTTCCTTGAAGAGGAAGAAACAAAATCAGAGAGGTAGAGTGCCCTACCCAACTGCTTACTCCAAGAAAACCAGCGCCCTGGATTTTAGAATGGACCAGGAGAACGGCTGTAGTCTCAGTGGTCTGTTTTTTTGAGCCAGCTTCCTCACCTGCCTGGCCTCAGGATTGGCAACTAACGCATTGCTCAGCTGCACAGTTACGAGAAGGGGGCAAGTAGACTGAGCCCCAGCCTGTCACCCATGTCCTCAGATAGGTGCCACCATAAGCCTTCGCTTCCCCACTCCAGTAGGCCTTAATTTCTATCTGCGTGTTCATTCTCCTTGCATTAACCTGATTTTCATGTTACAGTGTTACATATTCATCAAGATACCCGCCCCAGTCCTGAGGATTGAACCTAGAGCCTTTGCACTGAACTCCATCCCCAGCTCTTGAGGCAAGGTCTCACTGAAACACACTTAAATTGCCTGGACTGGGCTGGGCTGGGCTGTAATTTGAAGTCCTCCAGCTTTAGCCTCCACATCCAAGTAAAAACATTTTTAATCCAGTGTTGCTGCGAAGATCTGCAAGCATAATTTACTCTTGATAATAAGCCTACTGTTTTGACATGTGATGCCCTAAAAGGGCTTCTGTAAAGCCGGGCATGGTGGCGCACGCCTGTAATCCCAGCAATCAGGAGGCTGAGGCAGGAGGATTGCTGTAAGTTCGAGACCAACCTGTGCTACATAGTGAGTTCCAGGTCAGTCTCAACTACATAGTGAGACCCTGTCTCAAAAAACCAAAAGTGTGGTGCGGGGGGCTTCTGTAGACTGGTCTATACCTCACAGCATACTAGAATCTTCATATGATTCAGTACAAACTCAAGTATACAAGAAATATTTTCTTTTTCGCAACTTAATTTCTGGACTTGAGGTGTCACTGTGCCCTGTCAGTGACTTGACCTCCTCCCGCTGCCCCCTGTGCCTGGTATCTGTGTGAGCAAAGGTTTCTTAAGAGTCAGCAGTGCCTTGGAAAGGAGAAGCCTCTGGTCTCTGCTTGCACAGCAGGCAGGGAGCCAAAGTCAGGCTCACTGGAGCAGCCCTGCCCCGTCGCCTGCTGCCGTCCTGGTCTGCTGCCACTGCCCCATCCTCTCCAGCGGACCTTTAGCCTCCTCTCTCCCCAGTCCAAAGGAAAGTCTCTGTAGGCTAGTAGAAGTATTTCTCCCTGCAGGACACTTGCCTCTCCCCAGGAATTTTCTGTAAAACAATCACACGAGAAGCACTACTTTCTCCCTTGCCACAAGCCTCCCCTCAGTGACGTGTGCCACCTTGCACTGGGGAGGTGGAAGAGGAGTAAAGACCATTTCAATGTCCTAAGGTATCACTGAAGTCCATTCCTTTGGAAATACAGAAAAGAGATTTCAAACAGCTGGCCTTTAAGTGAACCTCCCTGTATGTCAGGGACTTAAAGTGCTCAGATAAAATTTCTGATGCAAAGTGATATTGTAAGGGCAAACTACTCCACAGTGGCTTTTTTCCTAGCATTTGCTAGATGGTGACGTGTAGATAAATGTATATAATTTGTATGGAAAAGTATTTTTAAAAGTTTTGTTTGACATTAGCGTTGAAGAAAACCAATCTCTTACCAGATAGGATTCAAATGCTATTTTAAACCCTCTCTAGTGGTACCATCAGGGACATATGTAGAGTTTGCAGTTTGATGTCCCAGGGCTTTCTGTCTCTCACCTCTGATGTTTTGTAGAAAGGAGTCTTGATAAGTAACAGATACGTACGATGGGAGAAGCAGCATACAGGTGTTGTCTAACTTACACATTAGTAGGGTGTACCCGGCTACCGTTTACCTGATGCTTGCTCACTTAGAAAGTGCATTTCTACCCCACTGCTTTCTATGACCAAAAAAATGCCCCTCCAAATCTTAAAAATGCTGTGAATTTTTGCTGAAATACTGAAAACTTATTTCCAAACACTTCTTCAGATCTCATGGTGGACGTTCCTAGACGTGGGAAGGTGGTGGTGGACATTGCGTATGGCGGTGCCTTTTATGCCTTCGTTAATGCGGGACAGCTAGGACTTGATGTCCTTTCTTCAAGGATGAGGGACCTTGTGGACGGCGCTAGTGCAGTGACCGCAGCAGTGAAAGCTCAGGTCAGTCTGGCTCTGCTGTCACCCGCAGGCCTCCCGCTGTGGCCTGGAACAGTAGAGGTTACCATGCCTCAAAGGAAACTCTCTGTGCACACATGAAACCTCTAATGGTCCTGGGAGAGGGACCTAGTTAGTATCACAGGCCCTACAGGAAGACTGCTGGTGAGTTCGTTCTTAATTTGTTCGAGGCTTGTTACCTCCATGTGCCTCAGTTTTCCTACCTCCAGAATAGGAAGTATGCAGCGTCTGTTTTTAGGATGTAGTAAGCGAAATAATTCGATATGTGGACTTAGAATACTGCATGGCTCATAAATGCTCAATAAGTATGGCAATAAATGGTAACGATTGACTTTTCCATACATGCTAATATAATTTATGGTTATTTAAACATACAAACAACAGACCGTGTTAATTGTTTGAAATGCATGTGTTTTGCTATATGTGGTTAGTTTTTCTGAAAAGCTTGAAAATACAGTGTAAATATAGCTTACAGATATTTTCATTCGGTCTGATAAGGCTCTCTTAGAGAACATTACTTCCTAATTAGTGAATTTTTCCTTTATTGCTAAGAACTTAAATGACTATTCAGGTAACTAGTTTGAGCTGAGGAAGACACCATTCTGATAATAAAATGAGTTTTGATAAATCGAGAATATTCTTTCATTTCTAGCACAGGTAGTGCTATTTTACCTAAAACACACAGAAATTGAATGGAAGTTTAATTAGTAGCCAGTAAAGATTGACATAAGATCGTGCCTAATATACTTGCATTAATAATCGTGGCTCATTTAACACTTAAAGTTTTGATTTAGTATAATTTATAACTCAGATAACAAAATGAAACACAGTTTATTGCTGTTCTAAATGATTATTTGTAGGGAACTGCCAGTGTCACTACGTGGAATTATTTTATCGTAGTGATTTCTAAAGCTCATCAGACAACTAACAGTTGAAAATTGTGGCACAAAATCATCCCATCTTGCTTTGAATTAAGTCATGAGAGAAAGACGGTTTTCTTGGTGGATGGGGTAATTCCGCAGTTGCCCGAAAAGCTGGAGCTTTCCATGCCGGGGTGGGGCGGCAGCAGAGCTCTTGTCACACCCCTGACGCAGGTTTGGAGACGGACCGCTTGTGGAGGGAGGGGCTGAGGGGAATGCAGTACAGTTTCATCTTCATTGGTTCTCCTAATAAACACTTGCCGGGAGCTTCCTGCGTGTCAGACACCACGATAGAGGCTGCAGCCCCAAAGGAAGAACAACCCCGCCTCGGGACTCGGTCGGGTAGAGAGCCACACCCGAGGACAGGCTGGCGTTGGGAGAACTGGGAGCACTGAGTACACTTTCAGCCATCGAGGACTTAGCCGCCCACTGGTGCCTGCTTCTGCCTGTGTGCGTCTGCTGACTTCTCTCTGCTCGTTGGATTATTTTTCATCCAGTTGTTTCCCTTACACATCGGAGTCCTTTTGACTTGTGTCTGCTTATGGCCTCTCACCATCGTCTCTCTTGCTAGTATCAGCGTCAGCTCTAGACGCTCACCGAATGGCTCTTCCACATTCTCCCCTTTAGGCTCCTGGGAATGACGGTGTGCTCTCCGTAGCTCAGCCACAGCCATCCTGTAAGTGACTGTCCTAAAGTCAGTGCTTCGCGTGCGTGTGTGTGCCTGTCTGTCTGTCCTGGGGCATGTGGATAAAACAATTCCTTCAGTTGAGGGTATATGCAGGGCATTTTCCTTAGAAGAGACTCAAAATGTGATGAAAATCATAACTTCCAACAAAATTGTATTTACCTAGAGAGTGACGTAATATTTAGCGGTTAGTGCCTTGCCCAAAGTTACCTCTGGAATGCCGCCCCTGCATTATTTACAAAGATAAATTTGAATCATAATATTTGTTTTATACACAGTTGATGATGTCAACATTATTTTACAGTTTAAAATTACTCACCCAGAGAGTGAAGACCTTGCCTTTCTGTATGGAACTATATTAACAGATGGGAAAGATGCCTATGACGAGGAACCAACTACCAACATCTGTGTGTTTGCCGATGAACAGGTATGGAAACAATCCGTCATTGCTCACAGACGCCCGGGTCCGTGCAGCTAGAATGCGCTGGATGTTCCTGCCGTCTTTCTCTTTGCACCCAGGTTGACAGAAGCCCCACCGGGTCCGGAGTGACAGCGCGCATTGCTTTGCAGTATCATAAAGGCCTCCTAGGCCTGAACCGGCCCAGGGCCTTCCGAAGCAGTGCGACAGGCTCTGTGTTCACAGGCAGTGCTGTGAGGGTGAGTGCCACCCCGATCCCCGGGAAGAGACGCCTGAGTGTGGGATACATTGCTTCACTCAGCTCTCAGAAGAGGAATGGAAAACAGGCCTGTAAAACCCTTCCATTCAACTAGGTCTTGGGCCCCTGGGCATCTCCAGCGTGCTTTATATGGGTCTACAAGAAAAAAACTGTCAGTAACTATGCTAAGGCACTGTTTCCTTCTCACCCGTTCTCTGGAGAGTGTTCAGTGGCATTCAGAGGCCACAAGACGGGCGACATTCCCAGTTGAAGGCAGTAGCAGACATCAGGGTCCAGCGGTCTTCTACAAGAGGCTTGCAAAAACAGTGCCACTTTTCTCATTAGTTGTTTTTGTAAATAAAGTTATTTTCACAAAACTATTTTCCTCTTACTATATAATAGGCTTATTATTTTTAAATGAAGTAAATACTTCACAGTACAGTAAATATTAATAAAGAAAACATAGCTAAGGGGACTCCGGGAGTCCTTAAGTTTTAAGGTATAAAAGGATCCTGAGACTAAATGGTTTGAGAACCATTACATTAGTTTGGAGGTTTTTATTGGCTTATTTTTGTAAATTCTATAAGAGCATTTCAATTTATATAATAAGTTGAAGAAAGTGAAATTTTGGTAATGGAATAAAACTTTAAATGTTCTAACAACTAATTAAGAAATCGCACAGTAGTAAGTGAAATTTGCAGAGTGATTAATCTACGCTGAGTAAATGAACCTCACCAGAGTCCGTGAACGCGGTAGACGGTCTGCCCTGACAGAGCGTGCTAGGGTCCCTGCTCCCCCTTCCTTCCCTCCCCTTTCTGTCCTTGGCTCCATCCCTCCCTCCTTTCCTCCCTCCTCCCCTCTCTCCCACTTGCTGCCTTGTTTCCCATCGTGGTTAAGATGGCATCCGTGTCCGCACTTCCAGGACACAAGTTATGCTCCTATTTAACTCATTCCTAACTCTTTACTTACCACATTCATTGGTCAGCAGGCCGAGTCTCGCTGTTTTACTTTCTCCTCCATCTTCACCGGAAACTACCTAGTAACTCCAGGCTTAATCATTGAATCACCGTTTTCTCTAAAGAGGTTTCTGGGCTACTCCTACTCCAGTTTGTCCCACACTTTACAGCTAAATTTATCTAAAACACACATTTGGCTCTGTCCTGTCCTTAAAATCCTGTCGTTTCCCTTGCCCATGAAATTATCCCTTGGGTTTTTCTTAGCATGATAAAAATCCAGAGCACAACTTGTACATCCGATACAGCATGTGTGCAATATTTTGATAATGTGTTCTTCTCATCTGCTTTTCTCAGGAAGCCACATGTGGTGATTTCAAAGCTGTTATAGTGGAAGTGTCGGGACAAGCCCATTACACAGGTACAGCAAGCTTCACAGTGGAGGATGACGACCCCCTGAAAGATGGGTTTCTTCTCAAGTGACCTCCAGGATGCTTAGAAGCTTTCCTTCTAAAGTAATGATTATCCATAAGTAATGCTTTCTCTACATTATGTGAAAACCAATATCCAGTTATTCATGTAAGCTAATTTCCGTTCTTTTAATAATAGTATAACCATGGCTAAATAGACATTATGCCTCATATTTGCTGATATATTTTGGTACAAATATCACTTAAGTCAAGCATGTAAAGTGCCAAAAATTCACAACATTTTCCAGTTATTAACGTACCAAGCAAAATTAAAATCCTTTAAAATGTATGACGATAATATTTTGTTTTGAAGGTCCTTTGAGTAATATCTGAAATTGTACCCACGTCAACAATGAACTTTACGAGTTCATTATTTTAGAGTTCTGTTTTGAGAAAAATAACGCCTTCTATAAGTAACATGTACAGGAGTTGGAAGAAAAGGTACTCAACACTTAGCATAAATAGCCAAGGAGTACTGGGCGGAGCAAGCTGCTTTCCATAGAAGTTACCACAGCAGCCCCGGGTGTCCTGTGTGTTCAGCACCAGCTCCTATACACACAGCTACTGAAGAGCCATAAACTCATCCTGCAAAGACAAGCTAGCAGTCAGATTTTTACTGTCTCTTTAAGGCTTTTAAGGCTTTGTAGGTTTGGGAAGGAACAAGCTCAGCATCATGAATGCTAACATCTGCTGTACCCCCAGCTTCTTTAAGGCTTTCAAAAAAGGATTGCTTAGTACGTTACTGAAATCCAGGTACATGGTAGAAATTCATGATCACTCCAAGGGAGTGAGTCATACTCTTCAGCTGCATGCTAGATGGGTTTAAAACATGAAAGAAAGGCTCATTACTGGCACTCTCACTGGTACACTTATCTCGGTTGTCACCAACAGAAGCACTCACTTAGTAGATTCTTAGTGAAGGAGGTAATAGTACCTTACTTCTGATGCAAAAAAAAGAAGTTCATGGTACTGGCTTCATCACCAGCAGGTCAGCATTACCCCAGTTAGACTAGGTCTGTGGTTTAATTAATTACCTGACCAAAAGAAAAACTATAAAGTTAATGTTTTGATTTTCCTATTAATCAAAAATGTTATGCTGCTTTTTGCTGAATCTTTATAAAATTCTGTGACAATGAAGTCATATACCTCCAAGAAATGACAGTTTCGCTAATTCAGTGTGACCAAGTAATTTTCTACAGATTTGCTATATGTTTTTAAAAAACAAAACCAGAACCATTATTTTCTCCCCAAATCTCATTACATTAATTTGACAAAAATAGTGTTCACAAGTTAGATTTTGTATTTTATAATGTGCCGTTCACATAGTCTCTGCTTTAATGACATATACCAGGAAATGCGTGTGATGATTGACTGATTTGTGTCAATTTGAATAAGAGAAGCTCAACTAAATCGGCTCAGCAGTTCCACACGCTGGGGTGTGGAAGACCCATCCTAGGGCAACCTGTCGCCCACCCAGGGGTGTAAAGGGGAGATGAAGCAGGGCGGATCTGCTTCTGTTTCACTTTGGACATCGTCAGGCTTCCGTGGCAGACCCATCGGCCTCCTGACTTGGCCTCGCATGGACCAGTGCAGTGAGCTCCAGACCTTTGACTGGATTCTTGGTCTCCAGTGGGCAGACGGACCCTCTGCCCTCCCACATGTGACTCTGGGTGGCCGTTGTAAGCCAATCTTGTAAATTCTTTTTTTTTTTTTTTTTTTTGGTACCGGGGATCGAACTCAAGACCTTGTGCTTACAAGGCAAGTGGTGGAACCGCTGAGCTAAATCCCGCCCCCAGCCCAATTCATAACATATTTGTGAGTCCAGTGTTACGTGTTTCTCTAGTAAATACTGACTGATAGTATATTAGTATCCCATAGCTACCCAGACAGGGCAGTTTTATCCCTGACATTATGTAGAATCCTTAGTTCTTGATGATCGGCACCTCGGATCAACCTCACTGTGGCCGGCCCTGCCCTCTGGCTCACCTGTGTTGTGTCGCTGTCAGTGTTCCATGGTACAGGGCATTTGCAGGCCAGACACATTAACTCCTTACCAAGGGCCTTCCGGAGGGGAGGCTGTTAATCTAGAACTTCTGATTGCAACTCTGATGTTTTCCTAGTACACTTCCTCCATCTTTAAGATAGGACAGCCAGAACTCACTCAAGATAAGATACTTTCATGAAGATGTTATATTTTTCTTGAGCAGCAGTGACTATGACTCTGTACTTTGCCCTTTTTCCCCTGGAGAGAAAACCCTAGGGAGAGGAGCTCTCCTCTCCTCCCATGTCCAGGCAGCCACAGAGCCAGCCCTGCACCTCCTAGACCGGGGATGGCAAACCTTTCAGAGACCGAGTACCCACACTGCAACCCAAACCCACTCATCGCAAGGGCCAGCGCTTCAGTTAAACCTGAATACCCGATGCGCAGTTGCTCGGGCAGTTCGTCCCTGTGTCCCTGCTGCACCCATGTGCCCTAGCTTCACCTCCAGTTCTGGACCCTGCTTCCCTCACCTGCCCATCTCTGCAAGGGCCCCACTTCATCATCTGAGTCGTGTAAGTTTCTCTGACCACTTTGCCCTCACCAGTTTCTTCCCCTAAAGTATTTAAACCTGTTCTGCACAAACAATGAAACAACATCCCTTGTCCCTCCTCTAGCGTGGTGTCACCTGGAGCCTTTCCCTTGGCATTCCGGCTTCCAGACGTCTCACTGCCTGCGTTTCCTCACCCCCCGTTTTCTCCTTAGCAGCTGTAGTCTGGGTTCTTCTCGTTCCGTGACGCAAACTGCTTGACCTAAATGTCACACCTGAAGTCACCGTGGAGTTTATGGAACACTTGTTGGATGCTGCTTTGTGCTCCTTGCAGGGAGGTGTGTAGATTAGCGCGCCTCTTGGTGCTGTGCTTACCCACAGCGCCGCTCAGTGTGACACCTAGGCCGTTCGTTGGGGCCTTAGAATGGCACGGCCCCCACTCAACCCTGTAGTTGTATGCACCTTGGTCCAGCTCCCCATCATGAACTTCTCTTCAAAGGCCACCAGTGCCACGCCATCCCTTGGGGCTGCTGCTTACACATCCACGTGTGAATCACCTGGGAATCTGAAAGTGCGGGTTTCTCATTCATGAGGCCTGAGGTGGGTTTTGTCTAATAAATTCCGGGGGCGCTAAAGCTGCTGGTAGTGGACTGCACTTCGAGGAACAGAACTCTGACAACTCCCTCTTGTCTGTTTTGGCCCAGGTTTTTCAGGTGAGTTTCCCTACGAGGCAACTTCTCTTAGTTCTGAAATACTGTACATGAAAAGCCTGTTTTTCAGCTAAAGCATAGAGAACACAAACTACTTGCAGACTCAAAAGAAACTGAGGAAATTACCTCACCCTGTCTTCTGAAAACAAAAACCATGAGAGAGCCGATTTCTCAGACCAAAGTGCCTCAGTGACTACTATCACCCCTGCAACTTTCTCAGCTTCCTTCTAACTGTTTAACTTTCACTGCTCCCTAGGCATTGCGTCCATGGCTTCATCCTTCACTCATATTCTGTACCTAAGTTGTCACGTTTGTACCATGGTTTTCTGTCTCATAAAGCGCTGACAACCCGACTAAATCCTGAGGTCCAGAGCCGCAGTGCAGACTCACCATTTGCAGGGACAACATTCACCCGCTGAGAAGGTGCCCTCTTCCCAAATCCCCTAACTCGGTCATTGGCACTGCCCTATAGGCCACCAGCCCCCAGGGAAGCTGGGGTTTATCTGTGGTTCTTAGGCACAAGCTCTGTCCTTTCTGCTGGTGCTCAGGACCGGATGTCAAGGGTGTGACCCGCGTTCCTTTCCTTTCGGAAACTGCTTCCTCATCACGTGGTCCTGCCGGAAGTGCTGGAAGCTGGCGCATCAGTCAGATCCTCACTGCAGGACATGAGGCTGTGAGGAAGGATGTGGTTTGAAAACAGACTGTAGCTGGAAAGTGATGGTGCCGGGAGAACGTCACCTCCGTTAGTTTTGTCTTTCTCTACCCAGACGCCTCCTATTTGAGGGGCTGGCTTTCAGACTGAAGTATAATTTGAGCTTGCCCTATCCTAATACTTTTGTTTGCTTCTGTAAGCCAGTGTCCTCACTGTGAGCATCTCTTCTTTCCTATAAATGCAGACCAGCTCTCTTCCCACCTGGGCTACAGCACTGCCTTTTCTTCTGGATTATTTTCCTAAAGTCACTCAAAACACTTCTTGTACATCCAGCAGACAAGTGCTAAGTATCAGCTACTTAATACACAGCCAAATGAAGGGAGGCAGCAATCCTTGGGAAATCACAAGGGTGTAATTCTAGGCAATGGTTATATTCTCCAAGTGGAAAGTACAGGGTGCTGTGACACTGACCAAGAAACGGGACACGTGGGGGTAGGGGATGCCACGTAAGAGACTCCTGAGGGACAAATCTTTATGTGGGGAGAACATGAGGGAGTTGGAGGAGGAGAGCTTTCTAGCCAAGAGGATGGCAGGTGTAATCGCCCAGATGAGAGATTTAAGGAACTCAAAGAGACCAGTGTGACTGACTTAAGACTTCTAAAGAGCATTTGTCCTGCAGAGCGGAAAGGGGCCTGGAGTGGGCAAGACCACTTAGGGGAGATTCAGGTGCGGGAGGAAGCAAATGGGAATGCACATGAAGATCCTGAACAAGTGAAAGAAATCCCCAGGTCCTGCAGATGGATTGGATGATGGCTGAATGTGAGGAGGGATTCATCAAGAAAGAAACTTAATGGATGATGATGCCGTCTTCTGATACAGACCGCTGAGGAGCAAGGTTTCAAGGAAAGTGGGAGGAGGCCTTGAACTCCCTTTTGAATGTGATTGAGGTCCCAGGGGAGACAGACACCATGCAGAGAGATAGGTGGGCTGGACCCTAAGATTGGGGCCCTCCCTTCTCCCTCAGTGCAGCCCCAGGGAGCTTCCACTATTTGTCTTTTCACCCTCCAAATCCCCCCTGCCTTTTCCTGGAATTCACTGTGTAGCCTAGGCTGGTCTCAGACTCACAGCGATCCTCCTGCCTCAGCCTCTTTCCTTTGGGGAGGGAGAATCCTGTCGCATCTCCATCTGCTACCCTAAGAAGTGCTAGTCGCCTCCATAGAATTCCACTGGGTATCGGAATCAGGACCTTGCACTTGTGAAGCAGGCAGCAGAACCACTGAGCTAAACCCCTGGCCCAGCCACTCCTATATTCTTGACCTGGTGCCTGGCTTTAGGTGAGTCTCTTCAGAGCTCAGGCTCCAGTTTTGTTTTTGATTTTGTTTTGCCGTACTGGGGGTTGAACTCAGGCCCTTGCACTTGCAAGGCAGGCACGGTGCCACTGAGCTTATCCCCAGCTGCCACTCCTGTATTTTTAATTCTTATCGACCTGCAATACATTTGTTTTTGCCTGAGGCTGTAGGCCTCTTTGGTAAAGAATTAAGTGGTTTTTTCCCCCTAAAACTAAGCATAATGTTGGATGATCGTGTTTGCAAAATAAATGAATCTGTAATAATTCTACTTTTGTCCTTATTGATGCTCAGCTGTAGTTGACTTCCCTTGAGGTAAAATTGGCCATTTCTACACTAGACATTTTTAGTTGTCACAACTGGGAGAGGTGCTGTTGGCATCTGGATGCTGCTCAGTGTCGTAACGCCAAGGACAGCCCCCACCACTGAGAATTGTTTGGCCCAAAATGTCAGTGATGTGGCTGAGAAACCCAGTCTTAGTTCACCACCTTAATAGTACTTCCATTCCGACTCTTGAGTCTCACGGGATAGTCTACTTCTCTGATACAATCATTCAAAGCTGTCATACCACTGATCCAAGGATCCACACGTGTGCTGGTCACTCCTCTCCCCCCCAGCCCCTGTCCCCACTGAGCTACAGCCCCGGCCTTTTTCATATTTTAAAATTTTGACAGTCTGAGTTGTCCAGGCTGGGCTCAAGCTTGTGATCCTCCTGCCTCAGCCTCTGCTAGGATTATAGCTACGTGCCAGCATGCTCAGTGGTTAGCCAATCTTTGGATCAGTATTTCTGAAACTTTACTGAATCATTATCAGCTGGAGGGTTTGTTAAATGCAGGTGCTGGATAGGTGCCCCCCACCGCATCAGCTTTAGTGGGTAAGGTCTGGAGTTTGCATTCTGAGTGCTGGAAACTTGTTTAGTCATAATGATGCTGCTGGTTCAGGACCCAGGCTTTGCAAACTACTGCTTCAGAGAAGAGGCCAGGGGTAATCTGAAGATAGGGTCATACTTTTTCCCTTCCCAGGACCCTGTGGTGCAACTTGCAGGCAGCCACCCCTTTTCCTGCATGTCCCGGCCAGGGGTCAGCTGTATCTCAGGTGACACCCTGTCTGGCCAGACCTCCACTCACACCACAGCCCAGCACGGACGAAGGGCGCCAGCAGGGCACAGATCCCTTTCTTCCGGCCTTAGCCAGTTTCGGGCCTGAGCTCCCCGAAGAGTTTTCCCTCCCTCTGTCAGAGAATCAGGCCGGCTTAGGTTGAAGAGCCAACCTCAGGAATACTGGCAGTCGGCCGCGGAGTCTATTTCAACGAGCTCACTACCTCAGTGTCTCCAGGTGTGGTCCTTAGGCCTCCTTCGCCACCATACACGTGCGGATCTTGGGCACCACCCCAGACCGACAGCGTCAGGACCGAGGCCCTCTAAGTGATTCTATGGGTCGGTCAAGTTTAAGAATGACTTTAAATTATTCTGTTCCGGATGGGGACTGTTTTTCACCTAAGATTCTAACCCCTGCCATACACAACCTCCGGGAGCAAAGGCTACCGAAGGCCGCCTGTGCCCAGCAGCAACCCCTGCTGAGTGTGTTCACTGGCGCAGAGCAGGCCCTCCGGACCGGACCCCGCCGGGGGACCTCGGGGAGCGGCAGCGGGGGACCAGCTTTCCCGGGGTACCGCCGGATGGGGACTGTTTTTCACCTAAGATTCTAACCCCTGCCATACACAACCTCCGGGAGCAAAGGCTACCGAAGGCCGCCTGTGCCCAGCAGCAACCCCTGCTGAGTGTGTTCACTGGCGCAGAGCAGGCCCTCCGGACCGGACCCCGCCGGGGGACCTCGGGGAGCGGCAGCGGGGGACCAGCTTTCCCGGGGTACCGCGCGC